GCAGGGCTCCTTCAGAGGTTTCCTAATGGCAAGTGGGCCCCTTGGGGAGTAACAGAAAGTGATGAAACTGCTTCAAAACAAATGGATCCCAAATGGAACAGAATATAAAATTAACTGCCCAAGAAAGGCATTGTATCATGTACAAGAAATTGATCGGTACCCAGTTGGTATTTCCTCCCACCTGGTAAGGTAAAATCAACATACAAGAATCCTTTTTAGCACCTTGGGGGTAAAACACTTGATTCTTGCTGGGTGCCCAGCGCTGGAGGCCCCAGTTTTGTGCCCATTCCCTCCTAATGATGCCGCAAAAGCTAGAGCACCCTGCCTGAACCTCGATGAGCCGGGCCATCTTTCACATGGTAGAGGCAGGGCCAAGCTGTGGCTCAACTCTAGAGGGTGCCTTTCACACCCTGGAATGCACGACTGGCACCCCGTGGAGTTGTGCAGGGCACAATGGGGGAGTGTTTATAGTCCATGAAAAATCATATGAAGCAGCTGCAAAGAAGCCTAATTGTTTTCCTGGTAATATGCCCATGACTCCCTGCACACACACACACACACACACACGTACACACACAAACACACACACACCTCTTCTCAGGAGCTTTGGTCCCAGTTTGCTATATCAGGCCCAAAGCTCTTTCTCTCTTTCAGCCCAAACATCATTTGAGCCAAGGTAGCTTTCTCCTCCAACTGAGAAAAGTTTCTGTCTTAGAGCCGGCAAACATGTAGGCGTGACGTTATGCTTAGACATGGCAGGAAGGAGAAGCAGAGTGACAACTCTGAGGGAACCAAGAAAGCCCAAAGGGGAGACAAGGTTTAGAGCGAAATCAAGATTGGATTTTGTCATGAAAGGCAGAACTGGCAAAAGCATCATTACAAGGCATTAACCTTGTTACACACAGACGAACAAGCAGAGGCTGGGATTCAGAAATAAATTACACATAATAAACTAGACAGAATAGGCTGAGAGCAACATTAGCGATTATGCCCTAAGGGGAGAGAAGGGCAAGATAGAAAATAGGCTGGAAAAAAAGAGAGAAAGAATAATCTCTGGACACAGGGGGCTGACTGCGCTGTTTCCCCCTTCTTCTTCCTGGCTCCCTGGGTATTAACCTCACTTTTGTGAGGACGTTTCTCTGGAGCCTGTCTTTCTTTTGTTTTCATTTGCCGCAATAAGCATAAGAAAGCCATTCAAAGGGTTCCTTTTCCCATTCACAGGGACCTGTCCATTTCTGTGTGTTTCCAGCACAAAAGAATCCATTTCCATTCAGCCAGAGCAGACCCTAGAGTTTTCATGAGGTCCAAGCCTCCTCTCCTATTTTCTTCCAGGCTCACTGTTGTAATTGGCTACAAAACCCTGACTGTGGCCAGGGTCCTCCAGGCTGGTGAGAGGAACAAGCACTTGTCCACGTCATGGTCCCTGCAGCTGAGGAAGAACTGCAGTTCAGTGTCCGCTCCAACAAGTTGTGATTGTCATTTCTTAAACAGTGACTCGCTTTTGGTTCCAAGTAGCAGAAAACCCAAGCGACAGTGGCTTAAACCATGGCAACTATTGTTAACTTAGTAAAGTGTTTAAAAGTTGGAGGTCTGCGGCTCAGTGGTGTCTCCAGGAACGTAGAATCTCTTTTCTTTTCTCTGCACCAATCTTAGCATGTTGCTTTCTATCCTTCATCTTGAATCTCATGGAAACAGAATGGTTGCCACCAGTCTACACATGATGAGATAACACAACTGTATTCCAGAGGAAGTGAGGGAAGAGGGCAAACGGGTTCTCCTCAAGAGCCTTCTATTATCAAGGAGGAAACTTATTCCCAAAAATCCTTCCAGTGGGCTTCTTACATTTCCCTGCCCAGGACTGGGCCACATGGCCACCCTCAGCTCTCATGGTTAGGAAAGTCAGTGTCTGGCGATAGGGAATGGAGTTGCCATTTGGCTTGGCCCAGTGATAGCTTCCACCAGGCTTGGGTTCATTGCTATCTGAACAAAATTAGGGTTCTTCCTGGCAAAGAGGAAATAGCTGCCATGGGTGTGGCAGTAACTTGTGTTTTTAAATGAAGTAATGATAGCAAGCATGGGTTTTGTGTTGCTGTGTGCCAAACACCGTTCTAAGTTTTACTGAGGCTTACGCACAAACTCATCCAGTCCTCATAAAAAGTCTGTGGCATAAAAAGTCTGTGCTCTTATCATTTCCACCATATAGAGGAGGAAACTGAGTCACAGAGAGATTAAATCACATGTACAAAATTACTTAGCTAGAAAGTGACAGAGCCAGGAGTCAAACTTAGGTGGTCTGGCTGGCTCTCTATGCTATACTGCCTTCATTAGGTAAGATGATAAAATACTTCAAGTAGCACACAGTAAGTATTAATACATGTTAGCTGGTATTATTATTATTATTACTATTATCATATCTTTTTCGTAACCGCCCTGCCAATCAGACACATCAGCCTTATTAGATAGTTTAGAAAGCTAACCCCTACCAGGGTTAAATTAATTGCCTGGGTCACACAGTGATTGAGAACCAAGCTCAAATGTCAGCAAGTGCCAGGTGTTCTCTCAAGTTTGAGAATGTTGATTTAATGGCTGCACCACTTACCTATTACTTTTTTTTAAGGTAGGGTCTCACTTTGTTGTCCAGGCTGAAGTGCAGTGGTTCAATCATAGCTCACTGTAACCCGGAGCTCCTGGACTCAAGTGATCCACCTGTCTCAGCCTCCTAAATAGGTGGGACAACAAGTGTGTGCCACACACCTGGCTAATTTTTTATTTCTGTAGAGATGGGGGTCTTGCTATGTTGCCCAGGCCAGGCTCCACTCTTGGCCTCAAGCGATCCTCTTGCCTCAGTTACCTATACTATTGATCCCGGACTTACTTTGAAAAAACTACAATTATTGAGGGCAGCCAGAAATCAGAGAAGTACACCGGGAAAGGTTAGATGGTAATTTGGGATGGATTTCTCCTTGTTCCCTTTCAGCTTTTGAGCTGCCTCTGTTTTCTTGGAGCCAGTCTTTCACAAACAGGATCTCTCATCCCACCTCAGGAGAGACTACCCATGGTTCTTGGTGAATTAGAACAGGTACAGTATTAAGCACCTACTGTATACCAGACCTAGATGTACACTGTCCCATCTGGTCCTTGTGGATAATCTGCAGTCGACATCCATTACTTTTTCTGTGTTGTGAGATGAAGGGAGTGGAGTCCTCTAGCCAGAGATAGTGGTATTAGAACATTCTGGATACCCAGGCAGAGATGATGCCCTGTTCTCCACGTTAGCCTCTCTGCAGTGCTCAGATATTTAATAAAAATAACAAGCATGGTCAGCTGGTCTTACATTTGAACAATTCTGGATTTATTTTAAAGCAAGATGTGTGGCATGGTTTTACTTATTTTTTTAATCCTAAAGGTCATCCGACTTTTCTTTTTCTGCTCATGGTCATGAGGCTTCCTTATCTAAACAGTGATCTATTGTTCCAATCCTTAGACCCACAGAGAATTTTTTTCCTTAACTTCAATTTTCACAGGACAGCTCCTCATCTTCCCATATTGCATGAAAAGTATCTTTCAACAAGAAAGAAAAAAAAAAAACTCTAATGAGCTTTCCCCAAATCTTCTTAAACCGAGTTCACTATAGAATATTTTATGCAAAAACATCGCCTTCTCTTAGGTTATGACATCTTTTCCTTGAAAAGTGATCAGGGCATTGGACAAATCCTGGCTAGCTTATCTTTTCCTTGCAGCGCAACTGCAACAAAGAAATATAGATGGCACTTTAAAGGCTTCAGAAATCAATTTAGCCCATAATCCATTTAGTTTAGATGTTAATGAAACTTGGTGGGTTTAAAAATAATGAATATTTAATAAGACATAAATTGAAAGACATAAACACTGTTGGCAATAATATAATGAAGTTAATAAGTCTTAGCCTCTGTGTGGCTGCCTCCCCCTCCCCAGTTAGGGCGATTTTAGGAGTTGCTGTGTTGCTTACTAAAGTTCGCTGGCTGCAACTTCAATGTGCCTTTAAAAACCTTAGTACAGCTGGGAACTGAGCTCTGGCAGATAAAGTGTGCTATCACACTGTGTTCAGTAGCTGCAGACGGCAACGGCTCTTCCTAGCTCCATATCTTCCAGAGATTTGTGTAACAAACTCAGTTTCCTGTCGTTGAAGGCAGGACGCAGCATAAAGCACATCATTCCTTTTAAACAAAAAAGAAAAAGACGTTTTGGTCAACACTCTGACTCTATCTGCTCTGGGTTTAAAGAGGGGCTTTATTTAATGATCAGGAGCAAGCATGTGATTACATGTGCTCAGAGCCTCAGACAATTTAAATGCCTTCAGCTTGGGAGTTAGACTTTTTGTTTTCCCCTTTAAAAGCATAGCACCAGGGCCAGCCCTTCGACTTGGTTCCTCCTTAGCTCTGTGGCTTGATCCTGTCCATCGTCCACGACTGTATCTGCCTTTTCACCCCCCGAATTAGCTACCCTGTCTTCAGGCTTCCTGTGGTCCCTTTTGGTAAATCTAGAATCACTCCTTTCTGCTGTCACACCCAATAGGATCGTCCGTGTCACATCTTGGGAAATGTTTGTGTTTAACCTCACAGAAACGAACGCCTAGCTAAAATGAATTGGCGGCAGGATTTTGAAAACAGCCAAGTATGAGACAGTCTGCCTCCCAATTCAGCGGTGGGCTGTCTCTTGGCACTAAAGTGGAATTCAGCTTCATATATCAGCTGGGGGGTGTTAAATAGATGGCCAGCTCGCTTTGGCATTCAATACCTGTTCGTACATAGTAAACAGGGGCTTTCTTTGGTTGGGCAGGTATGGCGATTTTGCAAGGTAATGAAAGATTGCTCCTGCGGAATCTTGTCTAAGAAGATATATGTGGGGCCCAGAAGTGGGATCCTGCCTAGGAGGACATGAGTGACATTTTATCAGTATAATGAGAAGTATCATTGTTAAAAATTATTATTATTTTTTTGTGCGTTTGTGTGCATGTTCAGAAAGAAGGGGATCAGCCTGAAAGAGTCCAACCAATCGCATCATCTACCTTGATCCATTCCGACCTGACATCCGTTTATGGCACCGTGGTAATGAACAGGACTGTTTTATTCTTGGGGACTGGAGATGGCCAGTTACTTAAGGTTGGTTTTCTGTGCCTTCTTCAAATGTCTATTTTAATAGTGATATTTTGTGCTTTAAAAAAAAATTTTTTTTAATGCTTCTGGGTTATACATGAGACCAAACCAAGAACTTTGTGAACTCCTTAAAGACCCCCAGAAATGGCCTAGAAGAAAATCTGGAATTCTGTATGTAAGAACGCCCCATAGCCATGTAATGAAGTATCAGCTACCTTGCTGCCCAGGAGTGTGCCAAGATATTTTTCCTTCCTTACTCATAAGGCACCTGGGTGAGGTAAATGGAGGTCTGGTCCCTACCCCAACCCTGACTCACCTTCCCAAGACATGTAACCTTTTAGTTCTAGCTCCTTTATCATGGAAATGTACAAAGCACCTGATTTCTCACAGCTTGAAAGAGATGAGAGATTATAGGGCTTGAAAAGAAGAAAAAACAGGTGTTCCTTCCCTCCAGCCCACTTACCACCCACAGAGGGGGTTTGTTTTCTGCCCTTTGTACCCACATACACCACAGAGAGGTTAGAGATCTAAAATCCTTTGAGACTTCTCTGGACTTTTATCTCAGAGGACTATTTTTTCCCCACTGTATGGATATACCCTGGTCAAGTGCAGGTTTTTATTCACTGATGAGAGGGGAAGAGGGGAGGAGGAGAAAATAAAAGCAGAGATACCAAATGACTTGTCTGAAGTTATCTAGTGGTCATCTTATCAATGTCATCAGCAAACATTTATTGAAGACCCTCTGTGTTCTCCAACAACATTCATGGTTGGGAACTGCACCATTTCTATGACTAAAGACTGAGATTCCTTGGCCTCTCTGCAGCCATCCATTTACACTCAGATCAGATTCTTAATTGAATAATGGTAGATCTGTTTCCCTCAACTGATCTCCCACAGATAACTTGCTGGGTGACTTTAGGTGAGTTGCTTAACCTCTCTGAGCCTCCATTTCTTTACCGGTAAAATACAGTTCTACTAGACAACCCAGAAAAACCCTTTCCTCTTCTGATAGTCTCTAATTATGTCTTCTGCACACATATTCCTCACCACCCCCATCCCCAAGTCAAACCTATTTATTTGCTCCTGTTTGATCCTATTTCCAAATATGATCCTGTTTCCACACTTTTGCTCACACTGTACTTCCAGCCTGAAATGCTTTTTTGTTTTTTCTCTTATTTACGGCACCTTATGTATCTATACTCTGGCTCAGCTCAAACCCCACCTCCTCTTTGATGACATCTAAGCCTGGAGTGACCTTGCTCCCCTCTCATTTCCTGAAATACTCATGATCTATGTCATTCTTGTGGCTCATTCCAAATGTCTTGCCTGGAGACCTCACCTTTTCACTGGCATTTGTCTTGCCTTCCCAACTTGATTTTAAGCCTCGTGAGAAGGGGGCTATGAATTCCCACCGCCTAATACAGTGCTGAGTGCCTGGTAGGCATTTGATTTAATCTGTTTTCTTTGGAGGAAACCCAGTAACATATGGGAGGGAGTTTGTTTGTATACACATTCTTTTAAAATATACATTGATCATCTTTCCTGTTGTGTTAGCTTTATTTCCTGGGGAAGGGTAAATACCCATCCATCATTCTACACAAGTCACTGGGTGACATCTGTAGCTCCACCAACGTGGTCAGGCTTATTGGACCCATTTGCCTGGCAGGAGTTTCCATCAAGCCTTTCTGGGTGTCCTCACCAATTATCTCTTCAGATTTGGGATGTTTTTGACGGATGTTTTGACAAGAACACTGTTTCCCCAAAGCCGAGCCAACCAAACTGCTACATGGTGAATTGGAGGTGAAGGAACACTCATCTATAAATAGTTCCCCATGGGATGGCCTGGTGTTGCCTGTCCTGTGTGTTCACCCAGCAGCCTGCATGCAGCTGGCTAGCTTCTAGAGATGTGGCAACAAGGAGTGAGACCAAGCTGCAACTTCATGCTGCTGAGGAGGCCATGACCGAAGTCTCGCTCTCCTCAGGGTCTGTATGGGGTACCCATTCAGAAGCTACCTGTATGGCCTCATTGTTGTTTTAGGGTTTGAATAACAAAGGCAACTTTTTGTTGTTTGTTTTGTGACTGCTGATGTTTACACAGTGCTTCCTAGATGCCAAGGGACTCTATATCTTCTAATGAATTCAGTCCTCTCCATGACACAACGGGGCAGGCCCACTATTCCCATTTTACAGATGAGGGAATCAAGGCCCAGAGAAATGGGATGATGTTGCTCAAGGTCACACAGGGGCAGAGCAGGGATTTGAACCCGGAATGACTTCAGAGACTGCACTAAGATCTCCTATGCTACACTGACTTTGCAACCTCTGCTGCAGACATGGAGATTACTCTCTGAGGATTCTGGGGGACACGTGGGAGACATGCGGATAGGGGTCCATGCCCTGGCAGGGGACATATGCTCCTGGGGTGAGTCAGGTTTCCTAGAGGCTCAGGAAAGAGCCCTAGCCTGAGAAGAAGGCGGACCATCTGACTGAGGGAGCACCTCACTGGCGTGATAACTTCTTGGGAATTAACACCCACCCAAAGCCCCCAATAAGACAGTTCTCTCACTCAGGAGAAGGGTGTGAGGGATGAACTTGAGCTGACTTGGCCCACCAGGCTCCCTAGGGCAGCTCAGTAACGCCCAAGCCTCTCTTCTATATCCTGTGTACAGATTCTTGGATGTAGCCCCTGAATTTACCCAGAATCCTGAAGACCCAGGATCGTGCGGATAATTTGGAAGCTACTGATAATCCCCAAATCCCTTTATTCAGAAGCTTTGAGCGTCTCCCTTGCCAAGGCTTGTCACCAGAACTGTTAGAAAGGATGAACACTGATAGACACAAGCTTGGCTCCTTAAGCCACAGCGTGGGGGAACTAATGAGCGGCAAACAACAAAACTCAACCCAACGCAGACAGTAGGAGGAGGAGTAGAAAGAGGGCTCGGATCAGCCACAGCCTGACTCCAGTTTCTGAGTGATCGTGAGTTGACGGCATTTTGATATGAGCCAGGCACTGTTGTATATACCTTGTTGAATGAGAGTCAGGAAACAGCAATTGGAGCCCAATTGCTGTTTTTTACCACCACTAGTAAAAACCTGGCTTCTTAAGCCTCTGCAAATCCTATGAGTTGTAATATGATTTGGTGTAATTTTAAGCTTCATGTTATTTAGATAATTTTTCCTTATTGTAAAGGTAATATATGCCCATGTAAAAAGTTTCAGAGTCGTGGGGGGTGAGAGGACAGCAAATAAAAAATTACTCCTAATTGTGTTGTGCAGAAGCGACTACTGTCAGCATTTTGGATTCTCTATTTATGTAGTTGAGGTCGGATTTTGCAACCCATTTTTGCATCCTTTTCTTCAGTTACTGAGGGAAAATGCTTATATTAAAATGTTACTGTAAACCTTTTGTAAATAGTATTTTTAAATAACTATATCATATTCTATTATTTGGGCACATTATTTTGAACTTAAGCTAAGATACTGGATCACTTTAAAAGTATCTTTAAAGACACATTTTCCAAGGAAGACGGCAATACCTCCAAAGGTAAGATTTCACTGATGATCTGTGAAGAAACTAAAGGTTACAGTATGCCAGTACTTTTACTGTCCTCCTCCTCTTGCCTTTAGACCTAAGTCCCTTTATAAGATTTTGGGGAAATAGAAGGAATTTAGAACTCAAAGGGTCCTTTGAGAGCATCTAATCTGCTCTTTTATTTGATCAGTGTACAGTCCCATGGTGGTGAGGTGAGTTATGTCTTGTCACCCCCCGCCGTTATTTCCCCATCCTGCTTCCTTTCGGAACATGATTGCATGCTGGATTTTTTTCAGTCGTCAGCATCTCCACTGAGATCAGCTGAAAAGTATGGTCACACTGAACTCAGCTTTGCGGAATTCACATTTCACGTGTTGCACAACGTACGCATTTTGGTAAACACACACCAAGCCTTTCTCCAGATGATAGTACAGCCTATCACGTGGTTTGGATTCCTTTGAGCTGACTCTGTTGCCTCTAGAAAATTGTCCTTATTTCAAGGGCAGAATTGTGTATTTTGAGCTTTTCCAGGTGGTAAAATAAGTAATAGCGGAATATGCATGAAATTTGAAATTTGTAACTTTATGCATGCCCATTAACCTTTCTTGTAAGCATAAAAGATAAGAAAGCAATGGGCAAGGAAGAACAATCGCTAACATTTCTGAGCTCTTCCTGTGTGCTGGGCATTAGAACCAGCATCTGCACGAGTTAACTGGTTTAATCCTCACTAGTCAATACCTTCACCTCCACTACTTTATAAATGAAAAAACCTGAGGTCTCGAGAGGTTAGGTATCTTGTTCAAGGTGCTCTGAACCTAAATAATCTGTCCAGAGCCCGAGCTTCTATCCCCCAACTAAACTGCATTAACTCTTACAGAGCTTAGTAGAGTTTGAGGAGCTGGTTTTTGTTATGTTTCTTCCTAATACTGGAGTATAAGGGTTGATACCAAGATGCAGATGTTTGAGGTTTCATGAGAAGGGGCCAGAAACCTTGTGGTTTAGTTTGTTCCTATTTGGGGATGGCCTCCTAGCAACCCAGCTGAGTGCAGAGCCCGTTCCTCTCAGAGCCGCACGTAGTTCATGGGGGTCTCTGAATCTCCTTTGGGGCCCCAGCTTCACCCCAGTCGCTCCTTTATAGGAAAGACAAGAATTCTGTATTCCAGTTGCTGTTTTGGATCATTTCATCAGTAAAGACTAGTGTTTTCCTGACCTCCCAGGGACTGTAGTAGGGTTCAGGATACAGGAAGCTATATCACACAGCTCTATCTTGTCCCCATATCCAGTCTTGAGGTATTTCCTATGTGCTTGGGGTCAGACTGGTTACCTATGTGGCCCTCAAAAAACTCTACTCCCACTTAATGGCTTTCTTTCTTTTATTTATTTATTTTTTTCTTTTTTGAGCCAAGGTCTGACTCTGTTGCCCAGGCTGGAGTGCGGTGGTGCAGTCTCAGCTCACTACAACCTCTGCCTCCTG